CACTGCTGTTTTTCTGGTCTAACTCATTTTTCTCACTTCTCTGTCTCCTTACAAAGTCCCTCTGGGGCAGTGGTTCTCAACCATGGATTGAGACCCACAGTAACTGTATTAAAGGGTTGCGTCATATGGAAGGTTGAGAACCACTGCTCTGGGGAGATAATTAATCACCATTTCCCCCAAGTCCTGCTAGACCTAGCAGGGTCTTTTACAAAAATGTGCATAGGTTCTCAATACTTATCACTGGTAGCCTGACTTAGTAGACTTCCCTACGTGACCATCTCTAAATCCTACACTGTTTAAAGTGGCAATTCTGTCCATTCATTCACATATGCTGCCATTATACTTATTTGGTTTGGATATAATTTAGTTTTCTACCCAAACTCATTTTTCGTATATTCAGCTACCATTTCTAATGTTCATTCAGTCACTAAGTAGAGCGATTTTGGATCGCAACTTTATAAATTTATTTCATATCTATCAGAAGGCCTTCTGCAGATGGATTCTTAATAAATGATATTAGCAGTGAATTGGTTTTGTTTTTGCTAATAGATAAGAAGGAACAGTACACAGGAACCTTATAAGGATATATAACTATTATGTATGTAATAGTTATAAATTTAAATAAGAAACACAGGCTTTGGAGTCAAATTAGTCTGGACTGGATTCTAGATCTTGTCATTTTTGGCTATTCCAAAGCTCCATTTCCTCCTCTATAAAAATGAGAATTAGAGAGGGGCGCAGAGGCTCACGCCTATAATCCCAGCACCGTGGGAGGGTGAGGGAGCTTTGCTTGAGTTCAGGAGTTCAGGACTTGCCTGAGAGAAAGTGAGACCTTGACTCATTTACAAAAATGAGAAACCCAGCTGGGTGCCATGACAAGCACTTATCACCTCAGCAGCTTCTGCAAGTGAGGCAACAGGTGTCCACAGCCCAAGTCTGAGGTTGCCGTGAGCTATGATGCCATTGCACTCTGCTCAGGACATAGGGTGGGACTGTCTCAACAACAACAAAAAGCAAA